TCAAATTTGACTATGGGCCCGTTCGGTAGAGATTAAAATCGGATTAAAATTGAAAAATTAGCCGTTATTGTTGACTTTTATTAGACGAGTGAGACCCAATAACGACTATATTTTCAATTTTAATTGAATTTTAATCTCTACCAAACGGGGCCATAAGTTATAATGTTTTCCAACATGCATAAATCTTTTGGAAGCAACCATCTTGTTGATAGAAGTATGATAGATGCCTGTAAATGCTCTGAGAAGGACATGCTTTATTTCTGACATTATTTGAACTTCTTGTTGGGGTTAAATTCTGTCTTATGGTGACTGGTCTGTCGATTGCAGGGGGTTTGCGGGCAATTTTAACAGATCAAAATAAGCTGATTGTAGCTGTTGGAGGTGTGACTGCTCTTGCAGCAGGGGTCTACACTACAAGGTACTGCCATCCTTGTAAAGGATGTAATTCCTATATCTCGACAAAGTATGGACATTAAAATACTCAACTTGGAGCCTAATGTCGCACATCTTGGTTTTGGCTCGTTAATATAAATTTTGGATATTTCTCTGGATCGGTGATCACTCTTATCCTTTTTAGTGTAGCTCTGAATATAATACACAGGATGTAACCCCTTCTCTCGTCAATGTTTGGGTATTAAGATATTCAACTCAGAAGCCTAATGTTTCACATCTGCGTTTTGCCTTGTGAATGTCAATCTAAAATAATTCTGTGATTGTCGATCAATCATATCCCTGCTTGGGTCTAGCTCTTTATATGATACCTATTTGTAGAGTTCTAAACTCTTTCAGTTGATGAATTAGAATGTTGATGTTTTGACAAGTTATATATATCGTTTTATGGGTATTTTACTCAAGTTGATTAGTTGACAGATTACTATCACTACATTCGTTCATTTTGTACACTCATTCTGCTTCCTTTAGTGCCGCTCTATTGCAATCTTGGGCTGTTTTTGCATCTCCTGTGCACAACCTCTTGAATCAAAATCAAGGACAGCATTCCTGACCAAAGACAGACCGAATGGCTGGTTGACCTGGAAAAAGGATACTTTCGAGAAAGGCTGAGCACAACTGAAGTGGCTTTACATAAGACGTTATGTACAGATCTGTACTTTGGTTGGACTACTGACATGTTCACCTGTGCATGTAAACTTTTTTTTTAATGAGTTTGAATTGTTAAGGTACAAAGTCAATTGGAAAGTGATAGCAATGTGATGCAAGAAGGATTCATATCTAAGAACTAGTCCTTCGAGCCTTGTGAATGACTTCATAATCTAACAAATTATCTTTTTATGTTAAATGTTATGGTAATTTATTCTAATTTGCTTACAGTCTGCCGATTGTGTAGAGTGCTGGAACTAGATAATAATTAATAAGGCTCTCTCCACTTAGTCACCAGGCTACAGTCAACGGGACAAATCCGACGTGTAACATGCTTCTCTGTTCTGACATCTAGCATAATTGAACTGTTTCTTCTGCTGTACATGCCTTAATTGTAAAATGCTGCTGGTCGTTGCAACCATATTTTGCATTTCTGCTTTGTTGCTCATTGAATTTTCCACTTGAAAGCTGCAAGAGTAGAATTATTTTGTAATTTACCATCTTTTTGATGAATTTTTACCATGAGCGTTTTAACTGTTACAAAGCAATAATGTTTGAAGTTCCACTGAACATTTCATTGTTTTGCATATTATCCATGTCCAATGATTAGAAAATTGCAGAAAACGTACTTGAGCCTTGAATTATATGTTGCTAAATAATCTATACTGCAGTTGCAAACTATATTCCTGACATGCTGGTGGTTATTACAAATTCAGTGTCCGCACTTCTTATTTGCACTTATCATAAGTTCACTTTCTGAATTTCAGAGAAGGTGCTAGGGTGATTTGGAGTTATGTGGACCGAATATTAGGACAACCATCTCTGATTAGGGAATCTTCAAGGGGGAAATACCCGTGGTCGGGCTTGTTTTCACGTTCCATGAGCACTCGGTCACGTGGTGCTAATAGTTCTGGCTCCGAAAATTTGAATGGGTTTGGTGATGTTATTTTACACCCTTCCCTTCAAAAACGAATTGAACAATTAGCTAATGCAACCGCTAATACCAAAGCTCATCAGGCACCATTTAGAAATATGCTTTTCTATGGGCCTCCTGGAACAGGGAAAACGATGGCTGCTCGGGAGCTTGCACGAAAATCTGTATGCAATCATAATTTTACCTCTGTAAAATCTTTTTTTGATCTATATGGGTTTCATTTTATTGGCTTGCTCATAGTTTACTAATGCAGTTGATTGTAAATTCAAACGTAGTGTTGTACCACAAGAATTCTTTTAAAATTGCACCTTGAATTGGACTCCTTAATTTAGTCCTTGTTTGCCTCTTGTTTATAATCTCAAATCACTTTTGTCCACATATTTCGTAAGATCCACATGTACTATCCATTTATGGACCCCTTATTTCTATCTATTTGTAATTTAAACCGATTATAAGCAACTCCCAAACATGCATTTGGTGTATTTAAATTTTTTGGTAACAATTGACTCTGCAGTTCAGGAGAAACTTTGAAAGAGATTATATATACTTTGTGTGTGCTGAGAAATGCTGTTATGATTTGATTCGTATTTTGCATCATTAGCTAAACTTGGCTACCCAGCTTTAGAAATTTATGCAGACTTGCAACTTGGACCCTTGCTAGGCTGATAGCTCTTCGATGTTAACCATTTGAGCTGGGGCACATTCATTGTGGGGGAACTGGTGTTGTACTTTTGGTGGGATGAGGAGCTCAGATAAATTATTTCATGCTTCAACATTGGAGGATAAATGGCCAATTAGATGAAACAATTTTTCTTTGCTTTTTTATGCATTTTCCTCCATTATAAAACACGTAAGAAACAAGACCTTCCCATCTTTCATTTATTAGAGTTAAAATGTTTTAAAGTTCTTCCTCTTGATTGGGAACTTGCTGAAATAGGAGTGAATACGAGTGATGTCGAGTTTCTACAAAGAATCCAGTCCGTTCTATATATGCCTCTTTAATATCTGTTTACCTGATTCTTGTAGGGGCTTGACTATGCGTTGATGACTGGAGGAGATGTAGCACCCCTGGGTTCTCAGGCTGTCACAAAAATACATCAATTGTTTGATTGGGCCAAAAAGTCAAAAAGGGGTTTGTTGCTTTTCATTGATGAAGCAGATGCATTTTTATGCGAGTACGTGACATTTCCCCTAATAAACTTTTGCATCTTTTACTTGGGTTCATGATGGATGGATAGATTCATTGGATTAGGACTGATTAACTTTTTTCGTATACATCTTGTGAATTTTTCATCTCTTAGTGACAATCAATGTTATCATAAAACAAAATGAACTTTTGTAATTTTTCGTTAAATTTCAACATCTGTCTTCCATGAAATTTCATAGCATCTGTTGGTGTTGGCCACATTATTTACCTTCACCATGAGGAAAATATATTAGATACCATGTGCATCCCTCCCATGAGAAACAAGATAGAACGCAACTAAAAATGTAGAGTTTTTAATTTGCTGAACGTGCATGCTTTTGAATGCAAGCTCAGTATGCCCTTCATATCTGTTCTATTATCAACTGTGTGGAGGTCCTTGAACTTTTCCATATATGGTTTTCCTTTCATTCTGTCTAGCTAGTAGATATGATCTTTATACTTGTCCATATCGTATTATCAGCGAGCCTTCTCAGTTTGCACCGAGCTAACATTGGAATGGTCTGTAAAATTCAGGCGGAATAAAACATATATGAGTGAAGCTCAAAGGAGTGCACTTAATGCACTCCTATTTCGCACGGGTGACCAGTCCAAAGATATAGTCCTTGCTCTTGCAACAAACCGACCTGGAGATCTTGATTCGGCTGTGGCTGATCGTATCGATGAAGTCCTAGAATTTCCTTTGCCAGGTGAAGATGAACGATTTAAGCTGTTGAAGCTCTATCTTAACAAGTACATAGCTCAAGCTGGGGAAAGAGAACCAGGCTTGTTCTCACACTTGTTTAAGAAACAGCAGAAACAGATAGAGGTAAAGGGTTTAAATGATGATATTCTCAAGGAAGCTGCAACAAAGATGGAGGGATTTTCAGGAAGAGAGATAGCAAAGTTGATGGCCAGTGTTCAAGCAGCTGTATACGGGAGTGAGAACTGCATGTTAGATCCCAACCTGTTTCGCGAAGTGGTAGATTATAAAGTTGCAGAGCATCAACAAAGAAGGAAACTTGCCGGTCAATGAAGACCTGGAGTTATTTTTTGCCGGATGGATGAAAATCAGCTTGCAGTCATCTGCTAACAACTCTTTTCATGGTTCAAGTTGATCATTTTGAGTAACATGTAATATTACCTCTCATTTAGGGGGGTTTGGATATCCGTGTAGCTGAAAATCCAAACCAATGAGACGATTTTATTACATGAGATGTAAATTATTCTATTGGTTTTGGCAGGCATGTTATTGACAGAATAATGGTAAAAACAGTCGTTTCCCATATATATACTACATTTTTGTCATTCTTTTCAATGTTTTCTATACCTTCCTGCGGGCTGACACAAGGATGTCCTCTCTCTCCATATTTGTGTCTGATATTATATATGTTGCTGTGTAAGGCTGAGAATGAGCAAAGTATTAAAGGTTTCAGTTGTACTAAAAATGGGCGACGGGTCAGTCACCTATTTTTTGCAGATGATGGTATTATTTTGATCGATCCACTTTGGAAGGCTGTACTGTTTGAAATATTTTAGATATGAATCGCGTCTGTGTAGAAACCAATATGGCAAAGGGGTACTTACAAAAATACTCTTAAAATTATGGATGTTTTGAAA